TGCTGAACATTACAAAAAATATGATTAGCTTACAGTAAAAACAAATACAATAAATTATGATCACATCGCTATAAAATTGGTACGATTTTTATTTAGAGCCATCATATGAGTAGATGTAGTTCATTACAGGGACAATCAATTATAAACAAGGACACCAGAACAAACTGATTTATGAATCGTGAAATGGAGCGTTGATGACGTTGTCTAGATAAACAATAAAAACTCGTCAAGCAAACCCTATAACTTAGAGAATTGAAAAACACACTATACCTGCAAATCTTTTTCATGACCTCAAAATTTTGCATCTAATTCATGTATTCGATGTTAAGGCTATACTTTAGTTCATTTAACTGAGGTTGTGTTTTGAAGGATCTTTCAAAAGGAACCAAGTGAGCCAAGTTAACTAGTTAATTTTCGATTCACTAGTGTTGTAAATCAAACTGAGTCGATATATATTTGTGCCTATTTCTGTTACTTATGGCTGACTGTAGTATAATGAAGTTATGAAAATCTCATCATTTACTTTTGACCAGGTAAGCCGGATAGTGTGTAAGAATGTTTTGCAATCGATGAACGTATAGTGTTGTCTATGTACTCATTACCATGGCAACAGTCAATCTAATAAATAGATATTTATGTGGCTTAAAGTGTTAGCTTATCTTTGTGACATTAAGAAATAAGTTACTGCGAAGATAATACCAATAGAAGGTGAAAGTTCAATGTTTAATATTCCGTATGTAACATTATCAAAAGCTTTCTGGATCAAGAAGTATAAACTTTTACCTAACGATCAATAGAATTTTTCACTCAGTTAAAATAGATTACTAACTTAGTAATTGTTTGTTAAAGCTTTAATAGAGAAACGGGTTGATTAACATGAAGCACTGATTTGTTTATTGCATTATCTCTGATCAACTTAGGGAAGCTTTCTAATACAGAAAGATGATTTTTCAGAATTGAGCCTTTATTTCATGAAGAAAAAACATTAATGTTACCAATTAGGTTTTTTATGATTAAAGAAAATGCATGAGTGTAGAAAATTTTCTTTAAACACTAAAACTAAAATTATTGATTGAATCTCTATAGTTTCCAGTTAATTCGAAACCCACAAGGGTATGCCATAAATCATCCTGAATGTTTTAGTGCTATCTATCTATCTATCTATCTATCTATCTATCTATCAATCATATAATTTTATTGATCAAACCATGAAAGGCGAAATTATTTAGCGACATACAAATTTACTGAAGTTTGTCAGATATTTTGAGTTTTAAATCTCAACTACTTAGATAAGATAAATAAATAACTTATACTTGTATATTAATTTTCACCAATAATCAGAACGCGTTTGGTAATTATAAGGAAATACATCTTTAATCAATTTCTTGTTAATAATTATTAAACAACTAATCTAGATTATTACCAACTTGGATATTCTAAATAAGTTTTAGAAGTCCCCAAATGTCGATTGTATTTGTTCTTATTTATCATTACGACTTATTAATTTATATACGTTGTCCGTTGTGATAATGAATCTTAGATGGGAGAAATGTTTCTACTCAGGTTTCAAAACCATTTGATACTTTGTACGGAAACTAAAATCTATGAAATCTTGTATTCTATTTTCAATCTTATATTATCAAACACATTAAACTGTAACTTATTATTTAAAACAGCTTAACTAGAAAATTTTATAATTGAACAATATTTGTTGATTAGCAGTGAAAATAGAAATATGAAATAGCCTTTTGTACACAAGGTTATTAATTAATAAAAAGAGTTGATAACGAACAAATCAGATTTTCAATGATAACTAACCATATAATTGAGTGGAAGCAACTTCAAATCTACTAGTTAAATAAATAGTAAACTTCATTCTTCGATAAAAATTACTGATAACAATAGATACTTAGTTTATAGTTCAAAATCATTCGGCTGAAATCGGTCCAGTGGATTGTGTAATCAAACTTAACACTTCATACACAAAGAAAACATCAATTTCAAAGTAATATCACTCATTTCAAAATCGATCTACGATACCTTTTACCACTGATTATTTTTGACAGCAATAACATACTATATGGACGATTCTAAAAGTTACTTATCGAAATCTTGTCAGTTTCTTAGTTAATCAAGAAGTAGGTTTCTTAGATGAATAGTGTATTACACAAGCTGACGAAAATTAACGTGATCATAAACTTTTTACAAGATTAATAAACTATGAAGAGTCGAAACAAGGTTTAGAATTAGGATAATCATGGAAGAGTGATACATAAACACATGGATGAAAGTTATTACAGATAGTTCTTTGAATTCGAACCTATAATACTTTTTATTAACCTTGAAAAGTTTATAGATCACGCCAAAATACTACATGCATTTTGGTTACATTGTTTTTTCCCCTGAAATAGTTATTAGTTTTTTGTAGTCATCTTAAGAACTGTTGACGTTTAATCTTGCCTCTAATTCTTCTCATGCTTATCAATTTTAAGCGTCTTAGTGGTTAAACATTGGCAGGTTATATACAGTTACTTACTTACACTTGTTTCTCCTCGTGGAGGAACATAAGTTGCACACCAGCATTCTCCATCCAACTCAGTCCTAGGTAATCCTCTTTTCCGTTTCCCTTCAGGATTCTAGGTTAGCCGCTTGCCTCGTGATGCAGTTTGATAATTTCCGTAATCCATGTCTTATACACTTCCAGTGCTTTTTCCTAATTTCCTCTCCAGCTGAAAGCCGGTTCGTTCTCTGCAACAGTAGATTGTTGCTTATGGTATCCGGTCAACCGACATTCAGTATCTTGCATAGACAATTGTTCAGAAATACCCATACATTCTTGATGGTGGTTGTAGTAATTTTCCAAGTTTCAGCTCCGTACAACAGAACTGTCTTGACATTCCTATTGAAGATTCTCACTTTGATATTGGTTGACAGTTATCTTGAATTCCATATGTTCGTCAACTGTAGGAATGCTGTCCTTCCTTTGCAAATCCTCGCCTTTACGTCTGCATCGGATCCTCTTTATTCATCGATGATGCTTCCCAGATATGTGAAGGATAACACTTCTTTCAGAGTTTCTCCATCAAGTGTGATTTGGTTAGTGTTCTCTGTGTTGTATTTGAGAATCTTACTTTTTCACTTATGTATGTTCAGGCCTACTGCTGCAAAAGCTGCTGTTACACTGGTTGTCTTCACCTTCTTTTGTTGATGTGTGATGGAATAAAAAGGCTAGGAGGTTATCTGCGATGCCCAAATCGTCTAGTTGCATCAAATCTGTTCATTGTATTCCGTGCTTCCTCAGATGTCGAGGTCTTCATAATCCATTTGACCATCAGAAGAAAAAGAAAAGTCCTTTCCACGCTGTCGAATGCTTTTCCCTATTCAAGGATGACGATGTATAGTGACGAGTTCCATTCAATTGACTGTTTAACGATGATTCGTAGTGTCTCGATTTCGTCTGTACACGACGTGTCCTTATAGGATCCAACCTGTCGATCTTGAAGCTGGACGTCTACTGAATCGTTCATCCAGTTCGGTAACACTCAGTTGAAAACGTTTCTTGGTACCGATAGTACTGGGATGCATCTGTAGTTCTAATATCTGCTTAGATCTCCTTTCTTTGTTGCCTTGATGAAGTATCCTTCTTTCCAGTCTGTCGACACTTGTTCTTCCTTCCAAATATTCCTGATTAGGGCATGGAACACCTTTACAATTACCTCTATGTCTGACTTCAGTTGGTATATTGTCTGGTCCTTCTGCTTTCCCGCTCTTGATTTTTCTGATAGCCATCCTGATTTATTCCATCGTTGGTGGAGTGACATCTATACGAAGGTCTGTGTGTGCTGCTTCGATGTTCGGTGGATTCATGGAGCTGGTCTATTCAAGAGTTCCTCGATGTGTTCTGACCATGTCTCTCTGTCCATGAATTTCAGTGATTGGCTTGCCTTCTTTTCCTTGACCGGTCTCTCTGGCTTACTATATTTCCCTGCTATTTTCTTCCTTGTGTCATATAGCTGTCTCATATTTCCTTTTAGCTGTTCCCGCTGTTGTTCTAGCCCTTCAATCTCTTTATGCCTGTCGACTCTAATGCTCCTCTTCACTTGCTTGTTTGATTCTGTGTATTCTTTATGATGAAGCTTCCTGCGTCCTAGCACCTCCTGACACGTTGAAGTTACTGCTTCCTTGATCTTTTTCCAATTGTCCTCTATAATAGTTTCTTCGAGAAGATTTTGTAAGACATGGAACTTGTTGTTGGTAACTATCAGTTCCCATATACCAATTGATAATTCACAAGCTATCCACCATTGTGTTTCAGATTTCGCTCAAACATCCAAGAACTGCCAGTAAATCTGATTAGTTCGTCCATATAGTATAGAATCACTGTTTTGACTTCTGACTAAATTCGGACCAAATTCAAAATCATCCATTACTCGTCAATAATTTAGTTGTAAACCCTACTATACCAACAAGAGGAACATTAGACCCTTCCATACCAACAACACACCCTGCTAATAAGAAACCTAGACTTCTTATCCTCAACAAATTTAGCTTCATTTCGTGGGAGTGAGTACGTGTAATTTTAAGGAGTATAAAAGCCTGTAATTACATGAGAAACCAAGTATATAACTGGAACCATTTTTATTTCTTGTTGATGATGAAACACAGTAAATCTGCTACATTCAAGCATTCAGTTCTCGTTATTTGCAGCGATTCATTGTTTATATATCCACGTATTTTTAAAATGCACCCTAACTGTAGAACCTGAGAACTTGAGAATATACTCCGTTTATACATCACGCTTTTTAATATGATGAGAGTTTTTAACAGTTCACAGACCGTTAGTTTTCAAAAGTCATTTCCAGTAGTCAGTTTGTTAGACTAATTACACATATCTGGTTCTTCAATCCAAACATACATCTAATTTTTTCCGCATCTTCATTCCTATATAATCAGTTGTATTAATCAGATTATTAGAATTCTGTTTTCAGTATTAATATCATGTCGTCAGAAAATAATTAGTACATTCATTTCGTGAATACTCTAATGAGAAATTAAATATTAATGTTCACACATCATGCTAAAGAGCTAATCGAAAAGAAATTTCTCTCCATTCAAGTTGTATTTTTAAAGTTAAAACAGGGATTGCTTGTTGAACAGGTTACGACTCACTGGAACAATATGATATATTTTAAAAAAGGGCTTGGTCCATCACATCAAGATAATGAAAATTCGAAGGTCTTTTCTATATGAAAGTTTTCAAAAAGGAAAATACATTAGAAAATGAGATTATTCACACTAATATTACAGAAATGATTGTTCAATTCACCAGTAATTAAGAGATATTTGTAAAAAGCAACTAGAAAATTAACGGATATATATCAAAGGCATTATGATTTTAAAAAGTGCGATAGAGAAAGTATGTGCATCATAGCATTGATTCTTTTGTTTTTTTACAGTATGGCTATGAAGAAAAACTGAATATCAAATGCAAAAGAAACCAGAAAGAAAGGAAAGCCTAGAGACGGGTTGTTCAATAAAACTGACTATAAGTTCATTTATATATTAGGTGTGGTTAGAGTGTTAACTGTGTACAACAAGGCCATCACTATTCAGTAACGACAAGAGTACATGTTTGAACATCTGTAAAACAAAAATAAGGGAATAGCGAACAAACTTAAAGTAAGATTAAATACGTAATTGTTTTACAAACGATTTAAATCAGTTTTAATCACATATATCAGTGGTAAGTGATTATTGACAATAAATAACAAAGATGAAATTTGAATAACCGTAGATATTTATAAAATTAGTTTATTTTCCGTTAATATTGTATTTTATACTGATGATGATGACGATGCTGGATTATTATCTTCACTCTCTGCAAGTATTCTTCGTATATGTAATGGTTTATTTGGATAGATTGTATAACTAGTCGGTTTCATATTATTTTTTTGTGAATTTTGTTGATTTAAGGGATTATTAAGAGATCCTTGTTGATTGTTGTTACCATTATCATCATCATTATATTCTGTAATATCATCCGGCAATGTGAAACCACCACTTGCGCCAATACAGGTAGTATGCTCTGGTTTAAGTAGCAGTTCTGTTAGTACAGCAATATCAGCATCCATTTTTTCTTTTGGCCATTCACCATAACATGCGATTAGTTCACGTCGAACTTTTGCAGCAGCACCAGACTTGCCATATTCTATTAATTGTTCCTAAAAGATGTGTACATTTTTTAAAATTGGTAAGTCGCCAAATTATTTAAAACAAAGGATGGAAAACGTACCTAATTTTTGAAATAAATGTAATTTATCGGTAAAAAAAAACAGATAAAAAACAATTTTTTAAGTGTTAGTTACTGTTAATTCGTATTAACAGAAGATAACATTTTTCTATTTCCCCGTATTACGTATAGAAATTTGTAATAAGAATGTCCAATTACCAACTAAGGCAGTGCGTGATTATAGTTGATGTACGAGTAGATTGGAAGGAAGCTTTTAGTACTTATACCGAATCATGATATAATTGCATGAAATCATTACAACAATTATCAGTTAGAGACAATGGGTAATATGGATAAGAATTGTTCGCAATCGCACAGGTGAATTTACTATTTACCTTTCCTTAGATCCTAAGATCCGTTATCACAAAATATTTTCTTATTCAACGAAATCATATTTTCACCGCGAATTATATTCTCTATGCCTAATATTTTACTACCACTAATACTGTTAAAACTTATACAACTCTGGAGTACAGCTGTGTAGACGTGATGTGGCAACTCGAACTAATGGAAACGTGTCAGACACTACGTTGCGTATGACTGACTAACTGATTTTAGTGACTAGTTCAGTTATCTGCAGCGTAGTATACTACTTACTTTCGGATTGCATGACAAGAGTTAATGTTTGTAATAACTCGATTACCTTGGCAATTCCTTAGGACGTAAATGTTTGCCTGGGGATCTTTATACTTAGCATACTATGAACAAACCAACGAATAACTATCAAATGTAATACTTTTAACATCTTATTATCTGGATGGAACTTGTCTCCAGTAGTTAAGAAGCAATGGATAATATTTGTGACTTTCAAAGTAGAAGGTACCAAATAAACTGTTAACTTTTTCAGAGGATCAAAAACCATCAGATGGATTCATAATGAGAAATAACTCAATACCACAGTGAACATAAACATACTGATTCATTTTTATATTAGTTGTTTGAGTCTTCCTATTTTTGTTTAGGACTGCAATTGACTAGTCTCACACTGGCATACTTGCATCCTGTGCGTCAGCTGGGTGTGTCTGAATCCCATCGCACGAGCTAGTGGCTATATGGACTCATTAGCTAAATGTATAGCGAGATGATATTTGAGGCGAACAGTAGTGGGTTCGAGTCCCAGAATGAAAGTCAACTCTGGGATGCAGGTACATCCAGATGACGAGTCCCAAATAGAACGAAATGCTCATCCCGTATTCCACTGATAGCCACCATATATCTCTGCTTATCAACATATTGAATGTTTTTACTTCAAATCGTTAGTTTTCTCTAAGTATTGAAGTATTGTTTATCAAAGCCTGCTTTCGAATTTTGCCAAATGAAACAAGATATGAGGAGCGTTCGATTTTATTGCTTTACTTGTTACTGACCATTTCTACCAAAGCAATTGGCAGGATTAGTAGTGAAGTTTTAATTAAATAATGAATGACGATGAATCAGTAAAAGAGCAGAATGATACAAAAATATCTATTTTAGCATTGAACAAGAAATAAGTGTGAGAGTATTTCAACTTACCAAAAACCCACTATTCGGACAAGCGCATGGTCTTGCACCAACAACTGCTCTAACGAGCTTTGGTAGAGGCATATTTGTTATGGTCATCAGGTAGGCCAAAGTTATTGTCACGCTACGAGAGACGCCACAAGCACTTTTTAAGTAATATGGGAACAGAGACAGAGAGTTATTATACATAATTATTATAATTTTGATCAAATAAGAGATTGAAATTTACTATACCATCACTCTTATCTTTACTCTTTTGTTTGGTTTCTTGCTGGTAGTCTTTTACTTAGCAAATAATGGATTGTGATAACTTGAACATATAAATAATTGTTTATTTAATCATAAGGTATGTATCAAAACCTGTGAAGGGTAAAGGAGTTACCTAGACAGGTTTGGTTTGTAATTCGGAGAAATTAAATTTAACTTGACATAGTTATCAATTACTCAGATTTGAGCAACATTATGTGTGGCTGTCAAAACCAAAGTTATGTGTTTGGGGTTGAGACCACACATTTACGGGTTGGAAACTGACTGTTACAAACACTAAATCGCGGTGCTAATAATTTTTATATCTGACTATTCCCAATAAATTAATAAATTGAGTCAAAAGTCAAACCTTTTGTTGGTGAACTACGAGTCTAGAAGTATACTTTACCATGTGAATTTAATTAGTGAACTGTCTGATAGGTCGACCTATAACGTAATCTGATGAACTTCAGCACAAAAATTACTAATACTAACCTCAATAAAGAATGTCAGATGTTTATTTCGTGACACTCTTTGGCTCATTATACAGCAGTACCATAGACTTTTTGTTTGAGACTCCTGATATGACCGAGATTGTGGAGTCTGGTCTTCTCGAAATGATCTCATAAACCCATTCTTTTATAGTCTTTGGTATGAAAGTCCCATTCTTAACCATTATGTATGCGGTGCTGTTTTAAAGAAAGCAGTTAGATGAAACGAGGATACCGGCAGCTTAAACCAGGCTGGTAAACACGAAGACCCCACCTAGAAGAGTTGGATAAAATCGATTACAAACCAATGGTAAATATGGTCTCCAAAATATCGACGGAAAGAAGGGAGTAAGAACCTACTTTGGTCAACAGCTAACATGAGACTGTGTTTATCGAAGTGAAAAACTAGTGAGGAACAAACCAGTTTCTAGGCAAGTTATCAGTCCACGAAAAAGTGCTAATAGGGACTGAGTGTGTGTAGGGCACTTTTAAAATATAGGACTATGTTGCTTGTGACTTTGCGACGTGTTTTGTGTATGAGCATTGGGTTTCTGCAAACTTTTGAGGAACACTAATCTAACTTGGTGAATCATATGTTTGACGATATTTGTAGATTCCCAGCTCAAGAACTGCTATGTTCGAAGAAATTAAAAGTTCACCTAATCTGCGAACGGAACGAAGACTGAGTGACACAATGACCAATTAAGCCAACTGTACCGATGCGTCTCAGCCCCGCTAACTAGAGAGAGGAGTCCAGGTTCAGAAGAGGGAAATGTATTCCACAAGCAGCCAGAAGCAAGAACGACAAGCAAAACTCAAGCATATATATATATATATATATCAGTCAGCTTCAACGTAAGACCAGGCACATGTATGCATCGGTCCAAGTTGTCATACCTCAATAACACAACAAGACGCACACCAGATTCATAAAAGTAGTTAATTCAGAGGTAGTAATATATAAAAGAAAGATTGGATATAAGGATATAGTACAGGAGGAAAGAATTAGTTCGTACAAAGAAAGATATGAAGCGATTTTAATCTCTTTCTTTAAGGGAAGACAGAGAGTGTATACACCGACGCCATTGTGATCGATTCTCAGCCATGTCACCCAAAGTCTCCAACCATTTGTCACAATAGTCGCGTTGACCCCAACCAAGTATTCTGCACCTATAAACATGGCTCAGACTAGAAGTTAGTGACTTCAAAGACTGATGCCACGTTTTGGTTTGAACGCCCATAGCTTTCTTCCAATCGTGTTCAACACTAGTCAGCAGCATTTCGCGTCGTGGTAATCAGTATTCAGGCATACGTAACACGGCCCAACCATCTCAGTCAATGAAGATTCACAACCTCATCAACTGATTTACCATCATTTCCTAATACCCTGTCTCTCTAACCTTACTATTACTTACCCGGTGATGCCAGCAGACGCCAGCGACAATTTTAAGGTATCTGTGGTCAAATATTAGTAGCTTACGGGTATCTTCTACTCTTAACTGCCATGTTTCTCTGCCGTAAACTAAATATATATAAAGCATATTAATGTCCTTCGGAAACGTTACAAAATAGCATATTAAAAGAGAAAACAAATCAATGACATTTAAGGTTTTCACAAGTGGGAAATACGACATGAAGGTGAAAATGGGCGCTTTTGGTGCGAAGACAGGAAATTTAAATTTCCAAAATAAAATTACAAAAATAAGACATTTACCAAGTGAGCTCTGAGGATTTCGTATCCCCAACAGAAATCAGGTAGCCACAGTGTGGTAACGAGTTGGAATTAGCAGCTGCATATGGTTTCTAACGTAGGCTGTTCCAACTCATCTGAGTCACTGGTAGCAAAACACCTGGTGTCCATGAAACAATTGACAGTTAGCGGGACACTAATTAGTAACCGAGAAAGATGTCATGAACGCTAGGCAATGAACTTCAAAGGATAGTCTGATTGGAATATAGCCCTAATGACGTTCATAACTGTCCGATTGCTTGCGATGCACCCGACAAAAAGGACTTCCGTATGACATCACACGAAGGCGACAAGATTCACCAGGCCTAGAAGGTCCACCAACGGCTCCTATGAAGGATAGTGGTTAATCAATGGTCACGGAACTGACAGGATTATTTGAAAAGACACGACAATATTTTTAGTCATGTTATGGTTTTCTAACATATTTACAAAAGTAGGCTCGCCTAAAAGAAAGGGAATCTTCTAAGTCTAAAACCTAAAGAACATATGGTTTTAGTAGCTTCACTGTGCAGAGATAGAACATAAAAAGGTAAGACTACAATGAATGTACAGAGAAGTTCGAAAAAATACAGAACCAGCTTAGTACAAATTCCAAATATTTGAAAAAACTGACGAGATAAAATGACTGTAACAATCTTAGATTAAAAGATAAATAACAAAGAACTGAAACAATACGCTCAGAAAGGCTTTAGACTCACCAATGGACTAGCACAGCACCATCATAAACCCTTGCCCCGTGAATGAAAAAGGATGCATCCCTAAAATATTTGGCAATATTTTCCTTCGAGTCGTCATCAGCTCGAAGCAGCAATTGCTTTCTAGTGGGACACTAACTACTGTTAAGTGATGAGCATACTAGATTACCTTAAAATTGTAGTGGAGAACGCTACAGACATGAGTAATGCCGTTTTCTTCGAGTTGACTTTTGGATTGAGCGCTAGCAACTCCACCAATGTATACCCCAGGAACTATTCTTGACATCGATCCACCCATTTTCTGTTGTTTGTCACAGGATACACATCAAAGCTCCGGAAATGAATCAGTTATAATCGAATTTGTTATGCACCCATCGACAACTCAATTGAATGTAACTCAAACACTTGAACTAACCACATTCAATATAAAATATGTTATGAACCAAAAAATGACGACTCGTGTTATTACAGTAATAATGGTAGAACTGACATGAATAATGGTCTCGGTTATAAAATGTTTCGAACCAAGCATCTGGTATTGTTATTCCAGGTGAAATGTGGTATGTCACGTGAAAATACATGTTTACTAGCCTTATATAAGTACTGTGAACCACGAAGCCGCAGTCATGTTGGTTGTAAAAAAACATTTGACAGTGCCGACCGGTAAACTTCTGATTTAACCTAGGTCTCCCCTTATTGATGTGCAGTTCTTCGTGTGTTTGAAGATGCCATAGGTATTCGGAGTTTGACAACGCTCTAACCTGTAATACATTCTAATATGAACCGTACCCATCAAGTGAAATCAAAAAGCAGAGGCGAGAAGTTTCGAAGATATATTCGACAGGCTGATCTAATCTGGCTAGATATTGCAGGGGTTGTTGAGCACGGCGTTCCCACTCGTGATCTGGTGGGGTCGCATGACCGAGCGCCTTCAGCTAAGTGAGTCCATTAAGACTAATGTGGTCAGCAACCAATGTCGGAAACATACAAATCTATTTATTTCGGGGATTTATTTACCTCTACAGGTTGGACGGATAGAAATTTTTATTTGGGTGACCAGAGGTTTTCAGCTTATTGTATATCATTATTAGTTAGCTTTGTGTTCTACTTCAATCTAACAATAACAAACTGGATGTAGTACTCTATTTTCATAGATCTCGTCTCTTGATCGTCTGACCGAATAGGCGACAAGCTACTCACTTTTCACAGGAAAATCGTCCATGTTTTTTTCCGGAGAAACAGACACATGTCCCTTGTATGTAGTTGCAGTTTTACGTTCAGTTTTGTTCAGATTACTTATACTTTATTTTTACATTCCACCTGCTCATTAATTTCAAGGACAGCTCGTACGTTGAGCCATTTAGTAAGTTCCACTTTCTGTTCCTGACATTCCGATTTTACACGGGCAATTTTTCAGTGACTCGTCTTATCCAGGATGTTCACTAACCTGTTCTTAGTGTTCTTTCTATCCACAAATGTCCATATGCATTGAGATATGTGAAAGTATATGATGGTGTTTTATTGCTAATCGATGTTCGTGCTGGTCAAAGAAGAGAGTTCAGTCACTTTGTCAGATAAAGTAATCCCTTTTACTGAATATGAATGATTTCATTGTTTTTTATGTATATGTTTTAATCATTCTTTTAACCTCAGATATTTTGGTTTCACTTTTTTTGGCCCATCATTTAAAATTTTTTCTTTGGAAACCTAAAACTTGAAGGTCTGTTTTGTAGTTTAAATAATGTTTTAGTAGAACTATATATTTGTGTCGATTAATTGTAATTAGCGAATAAACTTTTGCACATTAATCTAAATATTTTTATTTTGGGACGTAAGTTATGAGTAAATCAATCGACTATGCTCCAATAACAGACGAGAGCAAGACTAAGATGTAACACTTTGCAAAAATGGGAAATGTTTAGAAGCTTGACATTTAGGTCAATGGAGGATCAACAAGCATATCCGAATGAATTCAGCATATCAATAAACTAGAAAATTCACTGAAATACACAGGAACAGGAATCTAGTCACAGGCATACACTACCAAAATAAATAGGCAGATAACAGTAGGTTAAAGGCCGACAAAATCCAATTATATAAAGCCAGATAGAATGATCTGAGCGTCATATGTAGAGGAATGCAAATTTTTTACTACAACATGATGATGTTCTAAAGATCAATGAAAGCCACATGACCAAACTATTCATCTCAGAGAATGAAACTTCCCATAGACGATCCACGTTAGCTACAAATCGTCTCCATCATCTTAAGTAAGAATGGATAAGTTAAACTTGCTTTAAGGTTGAGCAATTACAGGGTAATTACTTTAAAATTCAATGATCACACACACCTGTTGATTCACTTAAAACACAAATTGCTGAAGTCTAGGACTGCTGTTTAACTATGACAAAAACAAACTGAAGCACGAACGAGCCTTGGATTTTTCATAAAATGAAAGAACCTTACTTCATTTTGCGATCGCTTAAATAACTGTCACACCGATATATAAGAGGTGAATAAACCACATTCTGAGAGAGTTATCAATAAAATTATTGAATTGTGTTACAATCGTACTCTTACGCTGACTTGCTGAGAGTCTGATCTACAAGAATAAATTATGAATGATGGGTAAATTCAAACATATGTCTTTGTGTCCCCCCAGAATCGATACAAAGTTGTCCTTGTTGCACAGGTTGTTGGATGATATGATATAGCCTAAATGTATGGATGTCAAAGAGTTGAAAATAACATTTATAAGACGAGAGATTATTACAAGGCCTAATTTAATATGTTTGATTTAAAGAGTTCGTAACGTTAGTTGATGACATATTTGGCGATAATCCTTATGATGAGAATACATCAAAAGAGCTCTAGTGAATCGCTTACGACAATCTTGAGTGTGTATGAGATCATTATGCTTGTAATTACTGTAAACCAGAATAACATATTCAAGGAAAGACATGAAACACTTTTGTATCATGGAAGTTATGAATAGAGAAATTCTCTTCGGTCAACACTAAAGTAGAGTGGTTGAAGAGAAGAAAAGTGACAGTTATCGAGGAGCAATATTATAGGTAGATTAGGATCACTCAACTAAAACCATCAGAAAACGAATGGTTTTAATCTCGTGAGTAAGAATATTTGGCGAATATACAAACAAATTTAAAAGCACTTATCTTAAATATAAGTGAAGACAACAGGTCATCATCACACAAAACATAACGTGGAAAAATTTTCAAACGCATTCTCACAAAAATATTTAAAAAGAAACCTAAGTACATATATTTTAAAGGTTGGTGTTATTATGTGTCAGTTTGTCACGTTAAAACTCCGACATAATAGCTCTCGTAACTGATTAGATAAATTCTGACATCTACGAGTATTTTTTTTATAGAATTGCAGAAAATCAACGCTGTCTATGGGAACAGGAACGTCTGCTATAACAAGACTCCATGAAAAGTTGGATTCGGGACCAAAATATATTCGTAAATGCCCTGTGCCTTTTGTTTTTATCTCTGATCTATTCACACCTTGCAGTTTTAGTCTGTGGTCAGGTTCAAATACATTCCCAACACAATTATATTGCACTAATGAGAGAAAATTTGATTAACATTTCTCAGGTTTCTGTGTGAATAGTGATTGGTAATAATACTTTCTCATAAATAACCAGAGGCTGACAGTTGCATCCGTATATTTTGAAGTTTTGAGGCGGATGCGAAAAATAGCTAGGGCTTCGCGACAAATCATCTGTCTTGCTGATTTGATAGCAGACCGCTGAACGTCAACTTGTATACCAACATGCAATCAAAATCGCGGATGGTGCCACGCTTGAACACTGGTACTGCCAAATAGATATTTCAACATTATTTAGATGTCGATTGAGTGTAATACTAACTTCTAACAGGCGATCACTCAATTTTTGTTGTCAGGATTGATCAAAAAGTAAGAAAAGGAAACTTGTTGAGATACTTTGAGTCAGAAATTCTATGTTGTACTAAAAATATAGTATTGAACAAAGCTAGTGCTAATGATTATACAAAACTATCGCAACTCAATAATTATTTACAAACAACTCAATGGCACATACATGTTGTGAAGAAACCATTTCGGATTTGTTTACGAATGTAATGACACAAAAGTTCAAATAATGTTTGCATCATATTCGCCAAATTTAAACAGGTTTTGTAGAAGTTAGAAGATTATTGATTCAAGTTTAAAGAAATTGCAAAGAAAAAACGTGAAGTATGTGAATAATTTAACAAGCATGTCTATGAAACAGAACTGCAGGTGCTAGGACCATGATGGCTACTAACTAACTAACTTACGATGCTTGAATAATAAGCGGGCTGTAACATATCCGTCTTGGAATGATGCAACTGACTACTCTATGTGACCTTGTGGTGAGGTCACATCGTGATTGTTCAGGCGTGCTAATCAGTGTGTGCTGCTTTATAGCTGCCTGTGAAGGAAAAATACACTTATGCTGGCAGAATAACACACTTATTACAACGAAATGTAAAGTACTGTGTGTCAAAACATTTTCGATCGTTAGCAAATCATTTTTGATAATGTTGCCATATAAGCCTTTCTTCGCCTTCACTACTTTCTGTTCACCATTCAACATATCCACGTAAAAGTACTTGGGCAATGTACTCAGCTTGAGTTATCATGTGGTCAGGCTTCGGAGCTATCACACTTCCAGTTCTAGTCTACGAACAATACTGTCGATCTGCAGATCTACTACCTCTCATACTAAGTGCATCATCCCCATACTTCAAACAAATGAATTTCTTCCAGGCATCATCATAAGTGAAACAATTTTTGTTAGGCCTAGGTTTCTCGATCGACTGTTCCACTTCTAATTATGTTGGTTGCAGTACCTTTTGAACCAATAGCTTTAAAATATGAGATGCGCGTAATATTTCCAAGATTACTATGGATTCGTAATTTGTGATGGTGCTATATAAAGTCGGTGCCGTATGACCTATGTGTTTTCTCATTTCCACTTTCCGTACTCATTCCGCTAATACATCTTACCCTTTGAATGATTATTTTCACACACTTACCTTATTAAGGGACATACATGATAATGGTTATCATTAACGGCTCATATTTCGTGATAAGAATAACCTGATATGGTTCTTTCTTAATTATCTTTAATAAGTTGAGGATACGTACCGCTTATATGAGGCATTTTAAAAGCTCCAAAAGAACGTCGTTAAAGAGATAGAGTAAATCAAACGTTGACCAACATACAAATACTAAACAACATCAGTAGAGTTCTAGTTGGTAATAAATATCTGGCTTCCTAAACCTTAACTAACATCTTAGGTTAGACTGAGAAAACAGGAAGAACTAGTGCACACTATTCGATTTAAAGGTGATAAAACTATGGTGAATGACTGGGGTGTGTATGCGCAATTCACT